GAAAAAGCCCCGGAGCGGGGGGCAGCGCTCAGCGGGGAAAGGAGCAGGCAGCCCCCCCGGCAGCGCTTGCATAACGTGAAACGGGGGTGGGGGAGAAGCCCGGGTCAATCAATGCAGCCTGGCTCACTGTACAACGCGCTGATTTTTGGTGGAGCGGTGTCCGCTTGGGACCCTTTCCCTCGCCCCCCTCTGCGTGGGTATCCCCACATTTAGGAAGGGGGAATTCTCCCAGTAAGGGGGGACCCTACGATCATCTCTTAAGCAGGTTGCATAACGTGAAACGGGGGTGGGGGAGAAGCCCGGGTCAATCAATGCAGCCTGGCTCACTGTACAACGCGCTGATTTTTGGTGGAGCGGTGTCCGCTTGGGACCCTTTCCCTCGCCCCCCTCTGCGTGGGTATCCCCACATTTAGGAAGGGGGAATTCTCCCAGTAAGGGGGGACCCTACGATCATCTCTTAAGCAGGTTGTGCCCCCGCAGCTCACGATGCTGTGCATAGATTTGCGTTCGCTTTTCACGTGCCAAGGGCTTCTCCAAGTTGTTCCTAAACTTACAGGTCACAGGTCTTTTCAAACATCAACCCGCTTCCAAGTTGCGCTGCGCCTTTTTTTGGGGGGCAGCCAAAAACCAGAACCCCAGCTGCAGGCAAGGAGAGACGCCCCAGCCACCCCAACAACACAAACGCAGCGCTCCCGGGCTGTAGACGTCTCCCCCCTGACTTAAGAGTAGCTCACATCCATGCTCAGCCTCGCCCAGCGCAAACTCAAGAGGCAAAGCCAGATCGCTGCTGGAGGAAAGCTCTCGGAGCCAGAAAGTCAACTTACCGTTGTAGGTGGTGTTTGTCTTGTAGACAGAAGGGCTCAGAGAGACGTTGTAAGAGCCAAGTTGAGTGGTGTTCGTGATTACTTCACAAGGAGCCTGCAAATACGCCGGGGAAACCAGAGCCCCGAGGACCAGCAGTTGGAGTGTGGTGGGAAAGGCTGCCATGGCCAGGTTTGCTGCGTCTGCTTCACACACCTGTAGTAGGGAGGAGCAGAGAGGCAAGGCTATTTATACTCCCTCCTTGATGAGGCAGATGCAAATTTGCCCTCGCTCTCCTCCAGCTTATTCACCCTGAATGGGAGGTGCTGGGTCACATAGCTGCAGTTTACAACCTTCTCCCTGCTGAGGGCTTGTCTACACTGCTGAGTTATTGCGTTGTAACTTGCTCGCTCAAGGATGTGAAACTCCCTCCATTTCCCCTTCCACGCCAGTGAGTTACAGCACAGCAAAGTGCCAGTGTAAACAGGCTCCTAGGGCTCCTCGGGTCCTTGTTTGTCTGCACCCGTGGGGGAGCTGTCTTCTTAGCACTCTTGCCTTGATCACACTGCTGCCTGAAGGCTGCGCTTTAGTGTAGACAGCACCCAAGTTTCTGGAGCCCTGAGCCTTTTACATTTCACTGAAGCATCTGTGGGCTTGAAGGGCTAGTCTCCCCTGCTACTTCAAATCCCTTTAAACCAGCCCTTCCCACAGCTGAGTGTTGTGTGGTGTTGATGCTTCCTCCCACCAGCAGCAGAAGGGCCAGACTGAGGGAGGGCATGGCATGGAACAGACATATGACTTGGTGTCCAGGCCGACAAGGCCTTCAGCTCATCATGGGGATGGATAGTCCTTCCCAGAGCGGAGATATGGGCTAATACAATAACCAACTCTATTTGGGGTATGAGGGAATGAAGGGTGTTCCCTTACTGGGCCCCTCTTGGGAGCAGTTTGAGGAGACTGTGGCTGTGTCTACATTGGCATGATTTTGTCTGCCTGTCTACACTGGCGGGAAATTTTTGCACAAGAACACTGACGTTCTAATGTATGAAATCAGGGCTTCTCGCGCAAGAACTATGATGCTCCCGCTCAGGAATAAGCCCTCTTGCGCAAATGTTCTTGCGCAAGAGGCCAGTGTAGACGGGCAACATGAATTTCTTGCGCAAGAAAGCCTGATGGCTAAAATGGCCATCAGAGCTTTCTTGCGCAAGAGAGCGTCTACACTGGCATGGATGCTTTTGCGCAAAAGCACATGCCAGTGTAGACACTCTCTTGCGCAAATACTTTAACGCAAAAACTCTTGCGTTAAAAGCATTTGCGCAACATCTTGCTAATGTAGACATAGCCTGTGTGTGTAGGAGGGTGGGGATCACATGCACCCATCAGATCTCAGTCCCGCAGCAGTGCTAAGAGCAATGTGGAGGCCTCCTGCTTTTCCATACTGCGCCCTTCTGCTGAGGGATCCTGTCGTAAAGTGCTCTCGAAATAAGGATGAAACCAAGTGGGAGGAGAGCCACCAGAAAGTCAGGAAGGCTCTAGGAGAATTGCTCTAAAAGCCTAAGGAGAAAGATTCTCAGCTGGTGGAAATCAACATAGCTCAGCTGGAGAGTCTGGGTCCATACAACTGAATACAGGAGTCTAGATTTGTTCTTAGATTCCAGTTGTTCTTTTGACATTACCTGCTGCCTAGAACTCTATAGGGGCAATACAATGACCTATTCAGTTCTATCAAGTGGTTCAATCAACCTATAAGCCCTGATATCAGTGCAAACACCTGGCTCATTCTGGTGGCAATTTTATTTCCTTTAAAGGAAAGTTTGGTAAATGTTATTTTCTTTGCTTTGCTGTCTGTGACTGGTGGAGGGAAGGAGCAGACTAGGGATTTACAGACCTGGTTGAGAACATTCTTCGACAGCCATCTGAAGAAGTGTTTCTGTACACAGTGGGGATTTTTTCATGTCTCCCTAGCCTGTGTTGCAGCATTTGGGGTGGGAACTACTTCAAGTACACAAGAGTTGGCTAATGGGTGGCAGTTGTGGCCAGAGACAAAATAGAGAAGTCTTCTTTCTTTGATCTTGCAGATAGCTTGTGGTATCTGCTTCAGTAACTGCTTTCCTGGGTTAGTTGATTGGTAACATGGCAAGCTGCATTTTTAAATGAGTCTCTCTCTCTCAGCAAGGAACTATGCTATTCTGCTTCTCTTTACACTGCACCTATCATCTGTGACTCATTTGCTAGATACCCTGAAACCTCCATTTCGCAAGACTTCCCCTGCGCCTCCTGTGTGTCTCCTGAAAAAGGATCCTGATTCAGACCAGAGGTCTGGGACTCTACAGAGAATAATTATAGAATATTTGTATGCCAGATGTTTAGGGTTACCAGATGTAAAAATACCGGACACACTTGATCTCACATCGGGGAAGTGGGAGGAGAGGTAAAATGGCTGGGAGGGGAGTGGGGCTGGCTGGGAGGGAATCAGGGGGAGGGTGGCTGGCTGGGGGAGATTGGGGGAGGGAAGGGGATGAACTGGCTGGTGGGAAGCAGGGTTGGCTGGGAGGGGGTTGGGGGGAGCG